AACTTATTTAACTTTTTTCGGCTTAAATTAATTCGTTTTAATTCCCTTTTGATTTTGAGATTGTATTGTTTAAAAAATATTTTTTTTAATACCTCAAATTTTTAGAAACTTATTATATCTATTTTTTATTGAATTTGTTTTCTTTTAATTCAAGTTTTTTAATTCTTAGATTTTTTGTTAGTGTGTTTTTTCTTGTTAATTTTTAAGTACTATTTTCTTATTTTTTGATTTATTTTTATATCTTTTTCTATTTTTATTTTAAGATGTTATTGTTTTAAAAAGAAAAAAATATTTTTTTAATTTCATTTAAATTTTAAAAATATATTTATTTATTCTGACTTTGTTTCAATTTAATTTTATTAGCTTTTTTAATTTAATTTTCTTCTATTTACTAGTTTATATTGTTTCAAAACGTAAAATATATATACTTTTTTTAAATTTAATTGAATTTTTAAAAACCTTTTTGCTAAAAGGCGATTAGCATGAACTGAAAGATAGTCTGCAGAATTGCGATGTAAGTGCTATTTTCTGAAGTAGGTTTTAAAATTTATTCGCCCATTAAACACTTTTTTGGAACGAAATTTGTGTTTAAGGGTAAATAAATTTTAAAACCTACATGAGAAAATGGCTCTTAATATATCAAACCATTACATCATTTACATGCATACATATGCATAGGAAGTCAGCAAAATGCTCACGCTATGCTTTGCTAAAATGTAAAAATTTGTATGTGCAGCCAAAAGTCAAAATTGGAAACCACATTAACCCAAGGTCACAGCCATATGCACAAAACGATCATCAAGCTTCCGAAACCTATCAGCAATTTGACGCTGTGTGTAAAATCCAAGAAAATCTGCCGCAAATGATAAAAGTTTTCCCATCACCCGCTTGCCAAAGGAACTGAGCAACGGTATCTCGGTGCGAATTAAGATAGGTACTTGGCCGCTTGGTTGAAAATATCCCTTTTCGAAATTTGTCACTACACACAAGCATGCGTTGCCCATAAAAGTTTGCGGAACGATGGATGGGCAGTTTCAACTTTCTCCTTTTGTGGTTGCGCCACGTATGAGCGGTTGAATGCACGCTTGTGTGAGTGTGCGTTCGTATACACGCCCGTATCCCTGAGTTATGGCAATTTTTGTTGTCATTTATTGGCATCAAAGAGCAATTTGAGACATCGAAATGAAAAATGTCAGCAGCATAAGAGCAATACTGGCTGGCCGCCTGACTGGCAAAGCACCCGCATATTTGCCAAACAAACGACAACGCCAACAACGTATTGCTTTACAAACCAATAACCAATGCGGACTTCAATCTCAAGATGTCAATGCCAATGCCATAAACTGGTTTTTGCAGGAATTTGGGAATTTTTTTAGAATTAAAGTTAAAGTTTGGCCAAACTTATTGACGAGTTCGACAGAGCTTCGATTCGAACTTTGCTCTTTGTTTGCAGAAAGTAAATAGACGTGCTTTTAAAGTATACAGTTGCATGCGTACTAGTACATCCATGTGGATATCTTCTGCTGAGTATGTTTGTGGATAAATATATTTGTGTACGCATTAGAGCGCAACTAATAAGTTGAAACGCGTTGAAATGTGAAATGCCACTGCATGATTTTCCTTGGGGGCTAAGATAAATATTTTCTTATCCTTTTTGTGGTTTAGTGTGGTCGTAAAATTATGTGGCAAAATTCTGCATCATTTTTATTGCCCACTAGCAAAACGTAGGCTTGCTTTGGAGCACAAGATTTAATGGAATACAAATATGTACATATGTATGTGAGTGTGTAATAAATCATAAGTACATATTTCAAAAATTGAGAAAAAAATGTTACTAAGAAACCAGAGTAAAAGGGATGAATTATTTTGCTACATTTTTGGTATGTCACATTTTGAAATGAAGTAGTATAAAAAATTTTCGATGTTAGTAAATTTATCCCATATATCTGCTGTCAACCTTAAAAAAGCAGGGCAGTTTCTTTATGCCTACTTTTACTCCTAAACATACAAATATTTATGTTTACCAGCTGTTTTTGATGTGTAAACATTTTAGCTCTCGTTATGGGTAAAATTTGTACTAGCCCAGCAGAAAATTTTTAATTGCTTCTTGTGTAACGCAGTAGAAAATCTGTAATTGATTCTTGTGTGTACACGACTAGCAAATGATGATTTTAGAACTAGTTCTGGCCCATTTTGAGGTACTTCAAAACTATTTTACGAACATTGCAGGTCTACATCGTGATAATTTTGAGGAAAGCTTAAGGCCATTAGCGGACAAGTTCAGGACTATTTAAAAACCAATTTGCGACTAGTTAAATATAATTTTGGGACCAATAAAGGACCACTTTCGGACCGTTTCAAGACTTGTTCGAGATTATTTCGGGACAAATTCCCAACATTTTCGCCCATTATGGGATCTGTTCAGAACTATTTCAGCACCAATTCGGAGCTATTTCAGGAAAATTTCTGGACTAGTTCAGGGCCATTTTGGGGAATGGTTTAGAAATATGTTAGGACCATTTCTGGATGCTTCACATTTTACGACTAGTTAGGGTTAACTTTGGCACTAGTTCGGAGCTTTTTCCTACCGCATTCGGGACTATTTCATGACAATTTCAGGCCTATTTCGGGCCTAGTTCTGAACCATTTGAGACGGGTTCAGGGTTATTTTAGGACTGGTTTGGGTTACTTTCGAATTTAGTTTAGGACCATTTCGAGGCTTATTCAGGACTATTTAGGAACATTTTGCTATAGCTCACTCCTATTTAAAAAAATTTAAGGTCTAGTTTACGACTATTTCAAGAATATTTCGCGACTAGTTCGAGATAATTTTTTGCCTAGTGCAGGATAATTTCGAGACTAATTTCCGTAATGGTTATCAAAAAGTTGTTTCTGGTATTTACAAAATGAATATATTGAAATGAAATTAACGTTTAATTTCCAACCTAACCTATTTATATACACACATGCTAATCCATACACATATATTTATACATCAAATTTTTGAGTACCTGGTACTTAAGCCTTTTTTTTTAACCCATTTCAGCTTTCCACTTGTATTCCAACAAAACCGAAGAACGCATTGAAGATGACACTCTGGCTGTGAAGTATGAGGATGGTCGTTGGTCCAAGCCATACTATGACTGTGGTGGTGGCAATATTTGGATGCTGACTTATACGGTGCCATTTTTTGGTTATGAAAATGGAACTTATCATTTCAAGTGAGTTGGAGTTTATCATTCGTAACATACAAACAAGTGTAAACCACCTTGATATTATAATCAAAAATGTTTTAATTTGCATACTTTTTTTAAATTGTAAGTAAGCTTTGCGATTTCTTCAACTAAACGGAATTTTTCATTTTTTAATGAATAACTATGAAGAAATTTGAATTAGCGTGAAAATATTCAATTTTAAAATATTTTACTTCCATTATTCAGGAGTTTTTTAACAAAAATACATATCTGAACATTCAGTGGGTTAATAGCTGCTCACAAAATTTCACTGCTCTAGCTTTCGGTGTAAAATCACATATCGGAACAATTAGTTGTGTGCGAGCTACATAACATAGGTACTTACGTATGCAACAAACATTGTCTTCCGGCAAACATATGTAGATATTGTCGAAATTCCCAAGGACATTTTTTGATTGCAAAGACTCATGTCCAAAACGATTGGACTGCTTTCAGTTTCCGGGCATAGTGCAGAGGACTTTTTTAAAAATATTATTTGCGAATTTTTTTTTTACTATTTTAGGCTTTTCTTTTAGCCTTTGCGACTAGAAACAGTTCAGATTTATATTTGGGAATCCTTTTATGGGCCCCAAATGAAAAATATATTCCTCATCCCTTATACAATACTGAAATGAATTTGGTGCCAGCAAATTTTGGGAAAGCGCCCATAGCCGCTTTTAATTTTACCTTTTCAACGTTTAAAATATCTTGCGTATAAGAACCAAGTAGGGCTCAGGTCCGATCGGAGTCGAGGTTGCCGCCATTCTGGCTAACTGATGACCTTTTTCTTTTCCTTCGATAGCATTACCCTCAGACTGCGCTTTAAGCTGCTCTATTCACTCCAAGACCAATGAGGAGTTGACCTCGCGAGATCCAACAGAGGCTAATCTCTGCACACAGATTAATTGCGAAGACTTTCGCTTGGAAGCTATTTGAGTAGATATAGATATAATGATAGCAATTTTTTCATATTCGCAGCAGCCATTCGAGTTCGTAGATTTTCTACGATGGATTCCGTGATAGCCCTGATTATCTTTTCTTTTGAAAAGTACCCAAAAGATGTAGCATTTTTGACCATATACTATCTACGAAACTATATATGCATAATCAGAAAAATCGTATATGTCCCTAGGTTTGTCTATGCTATGTTTGTGTATGTGTTTTTGTTTTGTTGAATTTACTTTAACCACCTAATGCAATTAGAATCGAAATACAGTAAGCACTTAATTAATTTTAATCAATTGAAAATATTTATTATAATTCAATCAACTGGTAAGCATGAAATTCCAAATATCTTATTCTTTCTTTGTTGTTATAGTACTGTAAGTGCATCGGGGTTAATTGAAAATAATTGGCTTTAAGGCAAAACACGTTTATGCGAAAAACGCTATGAAATACGAGTAACTAATTTGTTCCCGTCAATTGTTTTTGTTATTCTGTTTATTTCCGCAAATATTGGGAACAGATTAACTCTGCCTACAACAAACTCCCAATTAGTTGGAATTTATGAGATGAAAAACAGAGATAGCTTGTACATGAGGGTGGTCCAAAACTGCATGTGAAAAAGTAAAGTCGGAATTTTAATGCTCTCACCACCTAGGATTGTTCTATAGCAAAAAAATATACCCCAAGTCTTTCATTTCCAAGTATTTTATATGGGAAAAAACTTTTCGTAGAAATGGTATAGAATTCTATAAAAAAAAAAGGGAAAATAAGTAAATGGGTATTATTATTGGGAATCTTCTGAAGAGAAACAGAGTTCCGATCGAAAAATATTGATTTTCAAGAATTATATACCAATTCTACGAAAAGTTTTTTTTTTTATTTCCATATAAAATACATGGAAAACTTTGGGGGCTTTGAGCGACCTCTAAATATTTTTTTTTATTTTGAAACAAAAAAAAAAATCATGTTTATTTTTACGATATAGAACAATTGAATGGAGTGAGAGCATTAAAATTCCGACTTGACTTCTTTTGGACCACCCTATCGTACATAACCGTAGTATACACTCCTCATTTCCCAGTTGGTTTATGTATAGTTTACTTTGAGTTGCATGGACTAAGTTAGTTTACGCTGCCAATGGTGCACATGCTTGTCATAGCAGTCCACAA